TATGAAAGGTCCCTTCTGGTCCGTGTCCAGTTCTATCATATTCGGGAAAGTAGAAGATATGAGAATTGTTCAGTCAAGATCTAAATGAAGCTATCATTTTCCCATATGTATTCCAACATTCATTGTTTTCATTTTAATCATGTGTATTAATGTAAATAAATCTGAATCACACAGGTAGTCTTAAAAGAGAAGGAGACACAATGAGATACCACTTACACACCTATCGGAATGACCAGAATCCAAACAGTGACAACACCAAATGGCTAGAGAGGATGTGGAGCCTCAGGAACTCCCATTTGCTCCTGGTGGGAATGTGGAACAGCCATTTTGGAAGAGTGCATAGCAGTTTCTTACAAACTAAACATACTTTTATCATGTTATCCAGCAATGACACATCTTGGTATTACTAAAGGAGTTGAAAACTTATGTCTACTCAAAAACTTGCACACAAATGTTTATGGCAATTTTATACAACATTGCCAGAACTTGAAAGCAACCAAGATGTCCTACAGTAGGTCAATTAATACATAAACTGTGGTACATCCAGAAAATGGAGTATTATTCAGCATTCAACACTAAAAAGAAATGAGATCTCTAGCAAAGACATGGAGAAACCTTAAATTTATATTACTAACAAAATGAAGACAATCTGAAAAGGCTACATATATATGATTCCAACTATTTGAAATTCTAGAAGAGGCAAAATCATGGAAACGGTAAAAAGATCAGTGGTTGCCAGGGGTTAGTGGAGAGGGAGGGATAAATAGGCAAAGCACAGAGGATTTTTTAGGGCAGTGAAACTATTCTGGATGAAACTATAATTGGAGGATACATGTCATTGTACATTTAGTAAGAATAGAGGGTATAGCACCAGGCCTGAACCGTAATGTAACTTTAGACTATTGAACTCTATAGAATTTGGGTGATAACAATGTGTCAATGTAGATTCATCCACTGTAACAAATGTACCTCCAGGGTGCAGACTGTTGATAGTGGGGGAGGCTGTGCTTGTGTGGGGGATAGGGAGTACATGAGAATTTTGTCCTTTCTGCTCAATTTTGCTGTGAACCTAAACCTGCTCTAAAAGAGAAAGAAAGAGAGAGAGAGACAGACAGACAGAGAGAAATACCTGAGAACCAGCTGCACCATTCATCTGATAAATATTTATTCACTTACTACGTTGTGACAGGCACTCTTTTATGGCATTTGATTTTACTATTGAATTATATATAAATATAAGATGTATATAAACTACCATTGTACTGACTTTATTTTAATGCTATTGAACTTAGACTCTTTCAAGATTTGACTGTTAAAGAATTCTGCGTGAGGCCGGGCACAGTGGCTCATGTGTGTAATCCCAGTACTTTGGGAAGATGAGGTGGATGAATTGCTTGAGGCCAGGAGGAGTTCAAGGCCAGTCTGGGCAACAGGGCAAAACCTCATCTTTACTAAGAAAATCACTTGAACCCTGGATATGGAGGTTGCAATGAGCCAAGATCACGCCACTGCACTCCAGCCTAGGTGACAGAGCACAGCTCTGTCTCAAAAAAAAACAAAACAAAACAAACAAAAAACCAATTGTGCATGAAGATGATTAAAGAAATATTGTGAGAAGAGGGTAACCTGACCTGCAATGATCATATGTTAACTAAAACCTGGGCTCAGCTTGCTGGATGTGGAGTGATGGGCAGGGGATAAATTGGAACTAGACAGCTCACCATGTTGGGGAACAAGACATACAGGTGCCATTTCAAAGAAGACAAGTTTCTTCTGATAGATTTTCAGAAAACTGTACTTTTTGAGTGTTTAAATAGGTTTGTTTGGAAGCTTGGAAAGATTTCATGTTAGGTATCAGGAGAAACTGGTAGATGGATTGGGTGCAAGAAATTGGAGAAAGGAAGGGTCCTGCAGAAAAGCAAAACAGAAGGAAAGCAAAGAGGACAGCAGCAGACCCACACATAGCCCCCAGAAGCAAGAGGACTGGAGTCCGTGTCACGGCCTCCCTTCTGGTCCTGATGGGAGAGGGGAGGCTGCAGGGGAAGGAGGGAGGACCAAGGATCTGGCCATCCCATATCACACATGTGGCTATTTACATGTTAACTCTGAGTCATGTTTGGCTTCAGAAAATCAAAGTAGGAGTCTCACATTCTTAGATACAATCCAGTCCCAAGAAAACAAGTTTTAATATAGAGGATCTGGTGACCCTAATTTATTATATTTCCAATTAACATAATAAATTGGAGCAAAAGAAAAAGGTTAAATTGTCGTATTTATGTTTACCTACGTAGATTAAAATCAAACTGAAAAATTTCACTATAAATTTGGGTATATGGCATTAATTAGGGCCATACCGAAAACATTTTGTTTTCATTGTAGCATTAAGAATTCATGCTGCATTCAGGCCGGGCACAGTGGCTCATGCCTGTAATCCCAGCACTTTGGGAGGCTGAGGCAGGCAGATCACGAGATCAGGAGTTCAAAAGCAGCCTAACGAACATGGTGAAACCCCATCTCTACTAAAAAAATTAGCCGGGCGTGGTGGTGCATGCCTGTAATCTGAGCTACTCAGGAGGCTGAGGCAGGAAAATCACTTGAACCCAGGAGGCAGAGGTTGCAGTGAGCTGAGATCAGGCCACTGCACTCCAGCATGAGCAACAGAGTAAGATTCCATCTCAAAAAAAAAAAAAAGAATTCATGCCACATTCAGTTTGAATTCACTTTCCCTTTTAATGTTTTGGAATAATATTTTAATCACTTAATTCATTAAATCATATGAATTGGAAATATAATAAATTAGGAATATTAATTGTAACATCCAGTATAGCTAAAATATATACATGTAAATGAAATGCATAGATTGATTGATGATGCCATCTGCTTTTAGTACATAACCAATAGGTTCACTGTAAGAATGGATTTGTTATCTCTTTTTAATGGTTTCATCTTTATTAAAGTAACTAAACTCAGAGAACCTTGAACTAAATCACACATCTGAAAATATACACACATAGAGAGAGTGATGTTGATAGTTTAACCTTTTTTGTACAAGTGGAATATGCCTTCTTAAGCACTATAATGAAGTGGATAGGCTTGTCATCTGGGTGCATGTACAAGACACATCTATATAGGAATACAAACATCTCTCTGGCGCAGGTGCCAAGCAAGCCCTGGGTCAAACTGTAAGTTAGGCAAAGTTGTTTTGCCCTTCTTTTTCTCTTTCCTTAGTTGACCCAAAAGTCCCTTCAGTCCTCCTTACCCAGGTGTTGTCACCAGCCTCAAGGAGGGCAACCATCACCCCTCAGCCATACCGTCCCTCCTCATCCCTCCCTGTTTCTTCCCTGGCATGTTCTCATGCAGGCGCCATATGTGAAACGCTGCATTCATGGTTTCCAAATTAGGGATTTAGAGGCCAAGAGGGCACTGAGGATTTCCACTTTTTCTGCTTTCATTTGCTGATTAATGAAAATGATTCCTGTTGGCATATTTGGAATTATCAGAGGCCACCCTGTATGAATGAAGCATGTTCTATTTTGTTTGTAAGCTAGGTTGGAAGAGCCACGGGGCTGACACCTCTGGATACATTCCTGACTGTTCACAAAAGAGTTTTTTTTTCTTTAAAGAGGGATATTTCTTAATTTTGAAAATACTATTTTAGCAAAGCTGAGAAACACCAAGGAGGCAAATAATATATTAATTAACCCTCTCCATTCATTTGACAAATATTTAGTGAACATGTATGGTGTATCTAGCATTGCACTGGGGATAGGGATATATAACAGAGACGTTTCCTCCCAGAACATGCATCCTAATAGCAGACAGGCAATAATAATACACATGACAAGTTAGAACATGAACAAGTCCTATGAAAGATTCAATAGCACTTGAAGGTAAAGAAGAATGCCGGCTTGGGGTGAGGGTGTGGTTCCAAATGCAGTTTTAAATGGTGTGGTTAGAGTCACCTCATAGAAAGAGCAGCACTTGGACACTGTTCAAAGAGCCCGGGGATGTAGCCAGGTGTCCCAGCACATCTGTGGCATAAATGAGTTTTTCTGTAATCAAAAACTTAAGTAGAGAAAGTGCCAATTCTTCAATCCCTGAAGAACACTGAAGCATAAAAAAAGAAAAAATGAAGAGTACTACTGGATGAATCATGCTCTTTTTTCATATGCATGCAGAAGTTTTCAGATGCAGCTTTGTTCATGAAAACCCTGTGAACTAGCCTGTGTGTTAAGTAGCCATTTTATTTTGTTTCTAATTTAAATTTTAAAATTGTTCCCCAAATCAAAGGGCAGCCAGGACAACATGCATCTCGAAATACACAGCAAAAATACTTTGCATTTACGTATGAAAGATTAGAATGTTCTTTTGATAAAAAAGAACAGTAAAATGTAGTGTGCTTTCATTGTTGAATCACATGCCTAAGTTAAACATAACATGCCTTCGCCTCACATGTTCTGTCCCTCATGTAAGAGACGTTTTTATTTCTACAGGTCTTCTGAGATAAAACTCCTCGTGTCAGTTCTTCCAGTCTCTTGCTTCGCTTCTGTTTCCTTTGAAATGTTTGGAGCATATCCCTATTAAGCATCGTTTTAACATTTTGTACATCAGTCCTGCAGCCCTTTAAGACAGTGGTTAAATTTAATAAGTCTAAGGAATAAGGATCAGTCTAATGCCTTTTATTTCTTCATGTGCTTCAGACATGAGGACATGGCATGATTTTATAGAGAGAAATGTCTAAGGCACCCATTATGAAGTTAAAATCACCTTTCCCAATTCTATAGTTTGAAAGAAATGCATTTGGATTTTTATTGGTAGGATATTAAAGCAAATACAGAGAATAAAATATCAAGCAAACACTTTTTTTCTTTTCCTTTTGTATGCCTTAATTCAGTTTGGTGCAGTTAATTGTTAGCAGATACTTTATATGAAAAACGTATTTTGGTATAGAGAATGAAACGTTACACTCTAAAGCTTTTGGGTGTCCTTTGCTTTTTCAGATAAGAAGACAAGGAGGCATCCAGCTCTTGGTGGACCTGTTGGATCATCGGATGACTGAAGTCCACCGTAGCGCCTGTGGAGCTCTGAGAAACCTGGTGTATGGGAAGGCCAATGATGATAACAAAATTGCCCTGAAAAACTGTGGCGGCATCCCAGCGCTGGTGAGGTTACTCCGCAAGACCACCGACCTGGAGATCCGGGAGCTGGTCACAGGTTAGAAGCATTATTGAATTATTATATTTTATCTCAAGATAAACTTTCCGTTATCCAACACAGTAGCAAATATACTAACCAAATAAATATAGTGATGCTTTAATAACACAGGCAGTCTCAATATGTGTTTTCAAATTAGTAAACAACTAAGAAGATGATATCAGATGTGACCCACCTGGATTGATCATATTCAATAATCAAATGCATGTAACCCTCACTCAAATTTTGTGATCATAATCAGTTTTTGTCAGTTGATTTAGAAGTAGTTGAGCATCGTCCAATACCCAGGGCTCTTCATTAATGATAATTGACAAGGCATGTCACTTTTTGGTAATAAGGTATGTATTTTGGTTTATACTGTGATTAACACAGATGGCTTATTCTACTTAGCAGTTAATTTTTTGAATGAAATATTCATGTCTATTAAAAGTCACCATTAGTATTACATGTTAAGGAATTTTTAAAAAGTGAACATCAAAGCTTTTTCATGATTGTAGAACTTTTGGGTTTTGTAAAATGGAAATGATTATAGTAGCCACATTGTAGTCATGAGGGTTTAATAAATGAGACCCTGTGAAACATTTGGCACATATCTGGATACATATGAACACGGAGCTGTCAGCTCTTACTTTAAAAATCTGCAGTGTTACTTGGAGTACTAATGGCCCAGGTGGCCTCAATACAGGATTTCAAATTACTCTGCTGCTTACTCATCTTGATCATGCTCACTGCCATTCTAGGTGATACTTGGTTTTCACTTCATCAAAAATTACCCCTATCAGCAAGTATTTGGCAATTGGATTGCATAGCTGACTGTCTAAAGAGATTTTTTGATTGTCCCTGGTTCCATTGACCTTCTGTCTCAGCTCTTAAAATTTCTTTGTAGTTATGCTGAAAAGTAGATGAAAATACATTATTCAAGCTAGAGAGTCATAAATGTTTGTCTAGTCCTGGGTCAAGACTCCCAACTTTACTATACTTTCTAGAGTATACACTCCTTGAGATTATTGTCACATTTCTTTCTCACCCTTAGTTATATCAGAACTAGATGCAAATTGGTTTTATTTATTTTGTTTTTTCTTTCTGTAAGTAGAAAATTGTCTTTGTGGAAAAAAAAATACTTGTTAAGAATTACCGTACTATTAAAGCAATGTTTCACACCAAACTAATATGAGGTGACATGAGTCAGGGAAGGTAAAAGTATTTTTATCTACATAGTATGATGTCTAGGATAGGTTGGGAGTGAGTTACATAACTGAAAATATTTCCCACCATTATGGTTATGAACACTCATCCTTGTATTTGTGGGTTGGGCTTAAGTTGGAACGGCCTGCAAAAGAAAGGACTCAATGCTTGTGATAGAGACAGGAAGATTCTGTGCGTAAGACTTCGCCAACAGATACATGAAGTCACCAGAAATGAAGACCAACAGAGCACCTTCTGTGTACATCATATGGATTAATTTGTGATTAGAAAAGAATTGGATTTGACTAAAATTTGAATTTGCTCCAACACGAAACCATTGTCTAGAAGAACCCTCTGTGGTAGCTTCCCTGATTGCCAAAGAAACGCAGCCACATGCCAAAGGTTGAGATGAGCAATGGCTTAAAACAGAATGGAAATGCCATACCCCCGACACATGCCACCTTCTGCAGCAGTGTGTCTTATCCTGTGCTGCCATTTGAAGCAGCGCTAAAGGATCCAACTGCTGCCTATGCCATTGCCTTCAGCACTGCTTCTGACAGCTCCTGAGTGTCAACCATCACATGTGCCTGGGCAACATCAGAAATTCCTTTGTGAGCCTCATCTGAAAAACCAAAGGCATAACCTCTTGTTTCTTTTCCTGGTGAAACTCAGGCTATAGGAAGGATGCAAGTACTTACTGTATGGAGAGGATACCCTCTTATTCCACTTTTTTGAGGAGAAGGTTTCAACCCACTGTCATGTCTTGACCCACTGTGTTTTCATCAGCATGTGCTGGGGGTTCGAGGCTCTCTCTGTGTCTCCTCCTAAATGCTGTCTTCTGCTGTGATAGTCACATCCATTAAGAGGGACAGTGGTTGTTACTTCAGTAGATGTTTTCTGCCTTTCCAGAAGCATGTTCATATCGTGCTTGGAATCAGTTTCACCTTTCTCAAAGAAAAACATATCAGAACATGTGACAGGCTGAAGTTCATGGTGTCTGAAGTTGCCATCATAGATTCTTCAGAAAATCCACAAGTCCCTTGCCCCACCTTCCACTCTAGTAAAGGGAATTGGAAGACAGCATCTAGAACATTCTAGTGTGGAATAAATTGCTACTGTAAGTGAGTCTAGTGATTGGCTCTAGACAAAGCCTTCTGAGTTTCTTACTGACAGAAATCTGAGGGTGCCTAGAAACCTGCAGGACTCGGCTGACTTCTGCACAGACGTTGCATCAATGATGTAAATGAAGCCAAAGCCAACTTCACCTCCCAAAGCAAAAGTCAAATAAGGCAAAAGGAATTCACCTCAGAGAAAGCTTGGACTCTGTTGGCTAAGCCTTGGATGCCCTTAGTTGACCCTACGGTGCAGCCATGGAGATACCTATACCAGCGCCCACTGCGGTGGTGAGGCTGGGCACTGAATAATCAGAAGTCTGCAGTTCTGGCTGCTGAATATTTAAAGCCATGGCCCTGGCAAACATGTCCACACATTTTAGCAGCTTACTAGATGAGCAGCAAGGGACGAGATGACTCTGAGGGGCAGAGTAGGGTGTACAAGACGAAAGGCTGGCTTCACATCTGTTGTTGCAAGGAGCCGCTGCAAATCTGTTTAGAAATTAGGTCCGATATCGTGCATGAATTAAACAAAGTAATGATCTAAGTGTAACAGCTATACCTCTTACTTTCTTTGCAATTCTCCAGTGGGTCTAATACAGAGCTCAGCAAAGAATAACGACTCAGTACATTACAGGAGCCCAGCCAGTACAGGGGAGATTTTCCTGATCACTTTCCTGCCTGTTCTCATGCATGAGAACAAATGTTGAACAAAACATTACAGGGGAAGCTAGGGTGAGGTCTGCCCCTGAATTTCTTAGTAAATATTTGTAAACTGGGATGTATTATAACCAGATATTCAAAAGAAAAATTTTAATGATTTTTAAAAAATGAAAGCACAGTTTATAGATCAGATTCTAGATTAGGCCTGCTGTATATCCAGAAGAACTTACGCTCTTCAAGAGTGCCAAATTACAAATAAGAAAGAAATGATCTTGCAAAGCTTTAACTTAGGTATTGAATATGGCCTGGCAGACTGTTTGAACAATGATAAAGTGTTAAAATTGAGATATTTACATACATTTACATTCAACACGTAAACGTGCACATCCTGAAAAACTGCTGCCTGTTTGCACTGCAATCTCTCCTCACAGCAGAATATATTTTTCTTCCTGCTGTATCTTGTAATAAATAATTTTCTTCCTATGCAATAATTGCTATGAGATGACGATGAGAATTTTATTTAAATCCAGTTGAAGCTGTTGGATGCTAGCCATTGCTTGAAAACCTCCTAAACAAATCAATTTTGATTAGAAACGCTGCACGTCCTTTGGGCCTGACTCATGGAGTTTTTCTCTCTCTAAATATGGAAATAATGGACCTAAATCTTGAGTATGCCCAACTAAAGATTTCAGAATCCTTTACAAATCATAATAAAATGGTTTTTATTAAGCCATAGAACTTAGTAAATAAGTTTTCTTTTGGTTGGAAGCACGTGTCGAGGGCTCTGCTTCTCCAGGAGCAGACCGTGTTCTTCCATCTGATGCTTTGCATGTTCAGATGGTCCTTCCTTTTAGTTAGGGAGTCAGGCTGAGGACTCAACCTTGTCCTCTGTTTCAGGCATCATTAATTCCCTCCTTTCTCCATGGAAGTCCCTTCCGGAGTCTTCGGGCTGGATTTGGACGTTGCGCTCTAGACTTGCACTGTAGGATTAGATCCTGGATTAGAACTTCTGTCTCCAGGATCCTGTGCCCTCTTCTCTTTTGTTTTACTCACTTAAAAATTCCTAAAAAGGGACGCTTAGGAGATTAAATTCTGGAAAGAAAAAAAAAGTCTTTAACCCTCACATGTGAGCGGTATTTGCTAGATATGCAATTCTAGATAGAAAATCATTTTTCTCAGGAATACTTTCTATTATTTTAGCCTTAATACTATAAAATTCTCTCATGTTATATCTAGGTGTGTGACTTTTTAAAAAAAAAAGTCATTGAAGATTTTCAATTTAAAGAGTCATGACCTTCTTTAGTGCCAGGAAATTTTCTTCTTCTTTTTTAAAATAATTTCCTTGTCTCCATCTCCTCTATCCTTTCTTTCTGGAGTTAGTCAGACTTTTAAGCTTCTTGGATTACTTCTCTTGTATTTTCCTATGTAATTTTGAGCCCTTTGCCTTTTTGTCGTATGTTCTGAAAGACTTCTTCAATATCCAGCATTTATTTTCTCCAATTTGTCTGTGACTTCCACCCTCCCACTACGAATTCTCTTTTTTTATTTTTTCGTGGCCCCTATTTTTGTTTTACAAATGTAAAATATCTTTGAATTTCTCCAAGGATATTTCTTAGAACTTAAGTTTGTTTATATCTCTTTAGCATGAATTATCTCAATTTTTAAATTTTTTTTTATGGTGGGCGTTTTCATTGATTTTGCAGGCTTCAGATCTGTGGTGGTCCTTAGTTTTCTGCTTATTTTTAACAGAGTGGGAATAGAGTTCGTCTGACCTCTTTGCATGTTGGTGAAGCTTGTTCACAGTGAAGCTTCACTTCAGAGTAAGTGGATGGGAGTAAACTGTTAACATGGGAAATCCTTTAAGTATCTTAATGGGGAGGGTTTTTCTCTAAGACCCAGATGTCTATGGTACCTTTTTGGTTCTCCCCAACATCATCCGTCTCTTTGGAGATTCTTCCGAGTTGTGTGTTTTGTTTGTGTGGCCTGGAGGAAGAGGGCAGTGTTTTACTGTCTGCTGAGTGTTCGCCCGACCTAGGTGGA